CCCTCCCCTCCCTCCCTCCCCTCCCTGCCTGCCTGCCTGCCTGCCTGGCTGTCTGTCTGTCTGTCTGTCTGTCTGTCTGTCTGTCTGTCTGTCTCTCTGTATGTACTATGCATGTATGTATGTATGTACGTATGTCGGAGCTGGTATGTTCTCCTTATTATGCCAAGTCAGACTGAGCTTCTTAGCAAGCAGAAACTAAGCTCTGCGCCGACTCGCTTGACGAGTTTAAGTCGATCTGACTTGGGTGACTAAGCAACGAACCAGCAGCACAACAAAATCAAAAGCAGGGTATGCCCTGAGCTTTCTTGCCCCCTGATTTTTTTCGCAGGTTCGCATCAATCGGGCTGCCAATCCGGTTGCGCAGTGGTTGCGCTCAATCTCGATCCTACATGTCCGCGCCCGCATGCCTGTCAAATGCTGTGTCCCAGGGCTTGACATCTGCTGGTGTGATTCTTCATGTCAGCTACGCCAAACAAAGCGCAATGCGGCTCATACTCGTACGTATGACTGGTTGAGGGTGAGCTGAGACCACATGTGTTTCCCACATGTGCAGAATCGAAAAACCAGGCCCAGTGAACCCTGAGGCTGGCTGCACTGAGATGCAGCCAGGTGTATTCGCAGCATCTTTTCAAATCCGATTAACTCAACGTCGAGCTTGAACGGAGCCCTGAATCTGCATTTTTGTACGGGGTGGTACTCTTGCAATCTCCTGCGCATGCTTGTGAGGAAGTTCACGGCATGACAGTTGAATGGGGTTGTTCCTGGAGGTTCTTTCCGACAACTCAAGGTCCACGTTCAGCTCCCTTTCGACGTAACTGTTGGTGGGGTCGTGGCTGCTAGCTTTTGGGATGAGCCTGGTGAGCATTCAACCATGCGCCGATCAATCGTTTTGGTGCAGAGCCCGTGCACCCTGAATCTTCAACCTTGAACTTTAACCCTCGGCGTATGGCGTCGACCCTCGGCGATTCCATTCCTGAAGAATATATAACACAGAGGTACAAACAATTACCTATATTGGGCCGTGGGGTTTCTTAATACCACCAATATATACCACAGAACCTTATGCGAGCTTCGCAGACATTCCCATCAAGCAGGAAGGCATCGCTGCCACACGAGTCCCACTTACACAATCCAAGAACTGCATTAGGCCCCTCCGCTTCCTCCGCTTCATTTGATTGCCGGCCTGTGACATGGCCTTCGCCAATGGTGTGTATCAGATGCAGCCGTTGTACAAGCTGGCCATCCTGACGCTAGCTAGCCACGCCCCTGGCCTTGCCGGCCTTGTTGCATTCCAATACATCGCCTTCAAGCGATCTCTCAGCGAGGTCTCCCTCCGAGATGGCTCTGTGATGCTATGGTTTTCCATGTTCGCCATCGCGGCTTTCACCTGCAGCGCCGTGCTCGCGAGCACATCGTTTATGCTCGCAGATTACTTGCGGCGGATAGCCATTGACAAAGCCATGTCACAAGGTTTCGGGCTCCAACTCCCTGCCAAAAACATTAGGCAGAACCGCATCGGAGTTTCTACCGTCTTCTTGGCCTTCGTGAACTTGGCATTGCTGCTCGTGGAGCTTTGGCAGAGTGTGGTCTTTCACAGACTGTCCTTGAAAGACGTGCCTTTAGAAGGTATCCAGCGCGTGGTGCCGCTGGGGCTGTACCTAGCGAGCCTGGCCGGACTTGCGCGGTCGCCAAAGGTGCGATGGCATGAATGTCAGTGGCTCATGCGAAACGTGCGACCACTTCCGACTTACCTGCTGATGATGGAAAGAGAAGACAACGAGCAGGTTCAATGGTATCAGGCATGGATACGGCAGAAGATCCGCAGAGTCCGTCAATCGTCAAGGGAAGAAGGCATCGAGCTCACATCTCGCAACAGAGCCGACGAGGTCAGCGCCTCAATCCCAGCACTGGAGCCTGACGTGTCTGACAAGTTTTTCGCGGATCTGCCTTCGCTGATTGAAAAAGTTCCTGCTCTCATATCTCACCGCCGTGGTGCACTGCCAGTACACCTGCTCCTGGTCCTCGTCTTTCTAGCATTTCTGTTGTATCTCCCAGCCGCTATGCTCCAGATTTACAAGAGGCTTTTCATGCCACAGATCAACAACTTCGAAGTTCATGGCGGCAACTTCTTCGAGGAGGACACGGGCAAGGTGAACTACTGGATCGTGCCGGACGAGGGTCAAGATCAGGTGGTTGTAGGTTACTTGGAGGTTCATGGGTAGTTATAAGTAGGGTTAGAAGTAGGGTAACTTTTGTTATAACCTATATTAGGGGACTTATCACTCCACTTTTAACTACCCATGAACCTCCAAGTAATCAAGCAGAGTGCTATGGTGGCTGTCCGCCGTGTTTTTTGAGCGTTGTCCTCGGTTCTTGTGAGGCATGGTAGAACATTGGAGTTTAATGTCTCGAGCATACTTCCTTCTATCATATCCAAAGGCATTGCGGAAAGGCTTGACAACTCGCGCTTTGCTTACCAACTTTCCATAGCTTTCTCATGCACCCCATCACCGCAAGGAGAGGTGTTGCAATACAGATGAACAGCTGCCCGTCTCCGCACGCAACTTTCTTCCCATCCAACCCCATCAGCACGCCGAGCAGTTTTTTGGGTTGACCATGTTTTTTGGCTTACCTGACTTTCACCTCCGCTCATCACCATCACGGCAGCATTTGGCCCTTCAGAAGGATCGTGTTTGGATGTTCGCTGCCGAAGCTCAACCCTTTGAGAAGCTTTCGTCTGCAAGGGAGTTGAGCTTACGTTCTTGACATTACTTGGAGGTTCATGCGTAGTTATAAGTAGAGTGTTAAGTAGGGTAACTATAGTTGTAACCTATATTAGGGACTTATAACTCCACTTTTAACTACCCATGAACCTCCGAGTAGTATTCTTTGCTACGGGTGCATCCTGAGACCGACCCTTCACGCAGACACCCGGCCACCAGGTGGTGCTGCGCTTGACAGCGGACGCGTCCACAGCCAGCTCCTTCTATGTTTGCCCAGGCGACAGCTGTTCGGAGCCCCTGCGCAGGAAAGCGACCATGCGGCTGAACTCCCAGCAGCTCACCATGGAGCTGTCGCGCGAGAAGTTCGGCATGCGGAGCTCCTTCAAGTTACGTGGATTCTTTACTCGCACCGTCTACGTGGCCGTGGTTGATCTCCCGAAGGTTCAGATCACTCTTGGGACCATAAGCAAGAATGCTGTGGTGAGCGGCCAGCCATCCATGTTCAGGGGCAGATTCCCCAGTGAGAGGTTCCAAGGGGCCTTGGAGGCTGTGAGTTTTGATTTCACGGTTTAGGGTTTAGGGCTTAGGGTTTAGGGTTTAGGGATGTTTAGGGTTTAGGGATGTTTAGGGTTTAGGGCCGTGGAGGCTGTGAGTTTTGACTTCACGGCCGACCGGCGTTTCTTTGACTTCGACCTGCGAACCTCGACGCTCGCAACGACGTCCAACCCCACACACGGAGATCCGAGCTGCAAAGCCTCTTCAGCTGACCAGATCACCTGTAAGATCTCGGATTTTCAGCAGTGGTGTTCGAAGGCCTGGAACCATTGCAATCGCAAAGCCGAAGAACTAACCTTTCCGAAGCACTACGCAACTCCCTAAGCATGGAGGCCTGTGATCTCTCGGCGGAGTTGTCCATGAAGTTTGGCACAGAGCGGCTGGAGAAGCCCCTAAGGCTGAGAATGGAGGTTCGGAGCTCGGAGCTGTTTCCAGGTCTGCCAGTAGCCTTGACTTTTCTTGAGGAGCTTTCGGTTTGAAACTCAAGTTTGCGGGAAAACCCAGAGCCCAAAACTGCCAAAACCTAGCCCGTACACCCCTAAACCCCCTAAACCCTAGACCCTAAACCCTAACCCTAGGCCTGAAACCCTAAACCCTAACCCCTAGACCCTACGTCTTTTGAGTCTCTTAAAGCTCCAATATTCCTTAATTCAGGAATAGACCTTAAATTCTTGTAGGATCCCGAATATGATCTAAGGTATATTCCCCTAAACCCTAAACCCTAAACCCTAAACCCCAAACCCCAAACCCTAAACCCTAAACCCCAAACCCTAAACCCTAAACCCTAAACCCTAAACCCTGCAAAACCAAGGTTTCATCTCCAGGAGGTCCTGGACCTCCAGCGGAAGCTGGACGTGACGCCGGAGCTAGCGAGTCTCCGGCGGGAAGCTGGGCTCTTTCTTTCAGGAAGTTTTTATTTTTAAGTTGCCATAATAGGGTTTAGGGTTCTTGTTAAGGAAGTTTTTATTTTTAAGTTACCATAATAGGGTTTAGGGCTCTTTTTTATAAGGCAGTTTTTATTTCTAAGTTACCATAATGGGGTTTAGGGTTCTTGTTATAAGATATAGGGTTTTAGGGAAACTGGGTTCTTGTTATAAGGAAGGTAATTTCTATTTTACCATAATAGGGTTTAGGGTTCCTATTCAGGAAGCTAATTGTTAAGTTGCCATAAGAGGGTTTAGGGCTCTTTTTATAAGGAAGTTAATTTCTAAGTTACCATAATAGGGTTTAGGGTTCTTGTTAAGGAAGTTTTTATTTCTAAGTTACCATAATAGGGTTTAGGGTTCTTGTTAAGGAAGTTTTATTTCTAAGTTACCATAATAGGGTTTAGGGAAACTGGGTTCTTGTTAAGCATGTTAATTCTAAGCTGCCATCATAGGGTTTAGGGTTTTAGGGTTTGTTAAGTTGCCATAATAGGGTTTAGGATTTAGGGTGTTTTAAGTTGCCATAATAGGGATCTAATGTAAGTGATATGGTTTCCTTATTTCTAGTATTTTAGTTTAAATCCCTTAACAAGAACCCAGGAAAGGAACTCCCTGCTTAGAGAGACCTACGATTTTTCCAGGCGTCACCAGAAGAGAAACGGTCTGGAGCAGACGAACATCCTGTTGACTGGACTTACCGGGGCAGGCAAGTCGTCTGCATGTCGCTTCTTGACGATGAACGAGTCGTGCAGGTACTCTAACAGCTGGAGTTCTCACACGAAAAATGTCTCTGAGATTAGTGGCCACGCCTTCGGAGATGAGTTGCAACCTCGCTTGAACGTTTTCGACATTCCCGGTTTTGGTGACACGGAGGGCCCAGCCGTGGACGAGCGACAGTTCAGCGAAACCATCAATTACTTGGCTGATACAGAAGGGCTGGATGCCATCTTCTGGGTCGTCAACGGCGCCATTCGCCGCAAGCTGGGCGTCCGCCGATACATGTTGCAGCAGTACAGGAAAGCATTCGGCTCCCAATTTCTTGGGAAGCTGCACGTCATCGTCAATTTCGTTCCGTGGATGCCGTATGCCACTCAAGAGCAGCTAATGAGCAAGTGGATCGAGGAGTTCAGGGCGTTTCTGCTTTCAGAGGAGCAGGAGCTCATGCAGGACGCATGGGAGATGGTGGCAGACCGAGCAATGGGAATTATCAGTAGTAGCCTGAAAGTTCGCATCGTGGACATGAACCCCGTGTACTTAGAGGAGAAGCTCCCTGTCCCGCTGTCTGCTCCCATGGTCCACCGCCTACCGCCCTACTCCACGCCCATGAACCTCGTGGAGTTGCTGGATGCAGTGCACGCAGTGGCCGATATCCGGAGATCTTCTGGCAAAAGGCTTGTAGTGAATGCTGCGTGCCCGCTCCGTGGCTATGGCGAGGTGGACAAAAGCCGAACGAGCAGCGAGACGCAAGCAATTCAGGATGGGCCCCTGTTAACAGTGAAGCTGGAGGGTGAATTCCTGGGCAGGGGCGACAGTCTGCTAGCCCAGTCCGCCCGCTTTGCGTGCGGTCAGGCCCCAGCTGACGCAGACGCCGTGGTAATTTTGAACCAAAGCGCCCATGAGACTTCGATCTTTGCGGCGCTGCTTCCTTACCAAGTCTCTGCGTGGCCCGGAGTGCGGCTCTGCTTCCGTGAAGCGCCTGGGGAGCCGGAGACGGCCGCGGATGTGTTGCGACACTGCCAAGAAGCTGGCATGCTGGAGCTGGAGCGTTCTGCCTGGCCCGAGAACGAACGGTATGAGCTGATTCAGACCTTGAGCGAGGCAAAAGCAACGATCAACGCCGCGGTCTTTGGTTATGATAGCTTTGATCATGTGTACCTGGCAACTGCAGCTGAAGATGGCGACTTGCGGGTGTACAACAAGCTCTTCAAGCAAGACGGCAAGGAACATTATTGGCTGCGAGCAGAGCAAACCGAGAAGGTGCGCATCGTCTCACTGGCAGTGTCGCCTGGGGTGCAGGATCTGGCGGTCAGCACTGCTGATGGCAAGATTCTGATTTATCATCGTTACCATGACTACTTGACGTTGCGGGCAGTTCGAAACTCCCTTCGTGTGACAGGGCTGGCGTGGTGTGGTGAAACCCTGGCTGCTGGCAGCAGCATCGGGGGATTGCATATATTGAAGCTTCGACAGGTTGATGGAAAAGACACGCTGACCTCTCTGCCATCCGTTCCAGGTGGTAGAACACCTGTTACGGCTGTTTCATGCTTTGAAAGGTGGGCTGCCACAGCGAGCATGGACTCGCATGTCCGTGTGTATGGAGGGCCCCGGCCTACGTTGGACACACTCGTCTCTGGCGTGAAAGCTGTGGCTTTGTCATCAAAGTACCTGGCGTCTGGGAGTGCTGATGGGAGAGTGTCGTTGTTCCAGAGAGAGTCGTGGTTCCGGAACTGGCGCAATGATGCCCAGGAAGCTGTCCTCTCTGTGGCATTTTCTGATGAGAGGCTTGCCGCAGGGAGCGCGAACGGAAAAGTGTACCTATACGAGGTGACTGACGGTCGTAACCTGAAGCTGATGTCAGTTCTCAGTCACTCCCCGCAACCCATCAGAGCCGTGGCCTGGTCCCGCGAAGGGGTGCTGGCTGCTGGGGGCAACGACACGAAGGTGCGGTTGTATGCGCTGGAGAAAGACTGTGGAAGGGACGCTGGGTTCAAGCCTTCAAGTTCTCTGCCCTTTGCATTATATTTTATATTGTATTATGTGTTATTATATATTATATTATATTATATTATATTCTATTCTATTATATATTAACTTAAAATGCTGGCCTGAATCCAATCTCCAAAGCCTTGTTTTCCCCAATCAAGACGAAGATCTCAGCTTCAAAACCCCAAAAGGTCCATAGCATAGCCAAGCGAGCACTTCCAGTGCGTCGTTGCAGAGCCGCTTCCTGCTGCCCGCAGCAATGGAAGATAGTGGAAGTAGGGTAGGGACCGAAGGATACAGGTAGACAGCCCTAAACCCCAAATCCCAAACCTAAACCCATCTAAACCCCAAGCCCTAAACCCCAAACCCTAAGCCCTAAGCAGTACCGCAGTTGTACTTTCACTGGGCTTGAGGCCTCATCTTTATCGCACCGTGTTCGTTCAGGTTTTAGGATCTCAGGTTTAGGGGTTTCAGGCAGGTTTAGGGTTTTAGGATCTCAGGTTTAGGGTTGGAGGGTTCAAGGTTCAGGGATTGCGAGTTCAGGGGCTCAGGACTTAGGGTGTAGGAGCGATCACAAACACGGCAAGCGATTCTAGTCGACGGTTTGCAAAGAATGTGAACTCCGCCCGACTACGAGCCATGAAACCTTGATCTAAACCCTAAACCCTAAACCTCAAACCCCAAACCCCAAACCCCAAACCCTAAACCCTAAACCCTAAACCCTAAACCCTACCCTAAGCCCTAAGCCCTCGCCGGAGCTTCTCCCTTGACAGGCCCGACAAGTCTTCTGGGGGAGCTGACGGGTTGCTTGGGGTTTAGGGTTTAGGTTTTAGGTTTTAGGGTTTGGGTTTAGGGTTTAGGGTTTAGGGTTTAGGGTTTAGGGTTTAGGGCTTAGGTTTCAGGGTTTAAGGTTTAGGGTTTAGGGTTTCGGGTCTACCTGAACCCTTTCGAGCCGACCTACCTTTGTAGCATTCCTTATGTATTTCGATTTCCTTTAGGGCCTCTCGAAAGACCTGTTGGGCGATACGAGCTCTGCGGTTTTATATACATGATGAGTTCTTCTGTGCCTGAAACATGTTGTCTGGCATTTCTTAGACCTTTCATGCTGTCTACCTTTAAATCTGGTCCGCGCACTTTCAAGCCTAAACCGCTAGATGCACCGTATACCCTAAACTGTTAATCGCTTTCCCTAATCAGCCCGAAACCCAAACCCTTATGCTCATGTGCTCAAGATCCCGGGCTTAGGGTTTAGGGTTTAGGGTTTAGGGTAGTATCCGTGTACAGTCTTATTTCATGATAGCATAGCATACCCTCAAAACCCTAATGAGGTTCTGAACGGCCCATATGCAATGTCCTGGACGGCCCCTGTATCGAGATGTGCTACTGTGTAAGGACAAACCACGGTTTCCTTGCAGTCGCTTTTTGATGGGAGATTGCACTGTTTTGCGCGTGTAGTGCCGCCGCTGGAGCTTTTGATATAGTTTTGATTTGTTTGGATTGCCTCGTTTGTCAAGCTGAGTTGCAATGTGGCTTGGATGTAAGATATTGAAGATATTGGTGCAAGACCCTCTACAGTAGTCCAACGGTGCCTATCATGTATTTGGGCATGGACATTGCTGGCGTAAGCAACTGCGCAGTTTCGACGATGAAGTTCCACGTTTTGTCAGGTTGAAACCCGAGGTTGCATCACATGCAACGAAACCCTAAACCCTAAACCCTAAACCCTGCCTAAAGGTTAAAACGCCATAGGCGAGTGAAGCATCCGCAGCCATCATGTCGGGCCCGGCTGCCGATGCTCTCACACCCCTGTTCCAGACGACGCTGAGAGACGGCGCATCTCGAACTGCAAAGCCTAACACAGGGCCTCAAGAATTCGAGTAGGGGTTTTTTGGGGTAAACTACAGTATACCTATGTAGGGGGGATAAATTTGCTGATTATTCAGGCCTCTCTATCGCCACAGTTGGATGTGGTGGGTGGCCTGGTTCGCAACAGCTGCAACGAACTGGCCCAGGCGGCAATGGGTTCGTACCAGCGTGAAGGTGCCTCGAGCAAAACGGCTGCCGTGAGTCCGCCGACCGTGAGATGGGGGTATGCGTCCATTACCAAAACCTTGGTGGGGGTGGTGATGCAAATGCTGATGGCAAATGAAACTTTGCCGCAGATTTCGTGGATTCTTTGCAGCACGACCAGAATTTCTTTGTCATACATCTCTTGCGCTGCTCTAGCAGCCGATAGTTTGCACATTGCCTTTGCCAAAGAAAACAAGCCAGGAATGACAAGCTGCATCAATGGTTGCCATTAGCAGCTGGCACAGCCTACGAGAATGCGTCACTCCTCGACGTCGCTTCACATACTGCTTGCCTGATCTCTCAGGCCTTAAACCCTAAACGCTAAACCCTAAACCCTGATGCCTTATCTCTCAGCCCTAAACCCTAAACCCTAAACCCTGATGCCTTATCTCTCAGCCCTAAACCCTAAACCCTAAACCTTGATGCCTTATCTCTCAGGGCGCACCGAGATCGCAAGAGCTCATCCTGGAGGGCTGGCAGCAGTACACCGTCGGCGGAATCCCGGCAGCTCGCGCCGTTTATGTGAACAACAGCTTGCATCATCCACCCTTACCAAACTGCACCCCTGAGCTGAACACTGCGACTAGGTCGGCCTTGGGTGCTTTTTTTTAAACTTTTTCCTGTATTTGGGCGTTTGGGGACTGAGTTACCAGCATCTTTCTTCATTTGCTTTCACGGGCCCGCGACCCCCAACCCTAAACCCTAAAGGCCTGGCCTAAAGGCCCTAAACCCTAAACCCTAAACCCTAAACCCTAAACCCCTTAAAGTCCAGCCTAGGAGACGACGTATGTTCACTTTGATGGCGTGGAGATCTTGGCTCTGATTGAGGACCCTGCACCCTAGCAGCCTACACCCTAGACACACGGTTTAGGGTTTAGGGTTTAGGGTTCATAGAACCCTACACCCTGGAACCCCAGAGCCCTACAACCTAAACCCCAGCACCCTAGCACCCTAAACCCTAAACCCTAAACCCTAAACCCTAAACCCTAAACCCTAAGCCCTGAATTGTGAAGAGGAGACCATCAGTGGTTTGGACTTCCGAACTTTGACCAAGACCCTGATCTTCGATCCACTGGGCATGTCCAGTGCAGAAGTTGTGGATGGCAACTGGGAACTTTGGGTTTGGGGTTTGGGGTTTAGGGTTTAGGGTTTAGGGTTTAGGGCTTCCAGGGTTTAGGGTTTAGGGTTTAGGGCTTCTCGGGTTTAGGGTTTCTAAGCTGCCAGAGTGAAAAAAGCGTTTGATACCACTACATACCGCATTATGACAACTCGAGCGAAGTTCCTTCACAAGAGTCCTTAATAATCTCATAAATCCACGAAAACTAAACCCTAAACCCTCATGACCCTACCCTCAACCCTAAACCCTAAACCCAATCCCTCATGACGCAATCCCTAAACCCTAAACCCTAAACCCTAAATCCCCAACAAAAAACCCCAGGCAATGCGGCAGGAGGCCTCCGATCAACTCTCACCGACCTGGGCTTATACGGCCAGTGGCTTTTGGACGGTTACTAGGTTTTTTCAGTGGTACCCTTCTCGGTTTAGGTAGTAGTGTTGAGGGTAACTGAATACCAGAGAAAAGGGTTAGGGTTTAGAGTTTAGGGTTCAGGGTTTAGGGTTTAGGGTTTAGGGTTTAGAGCCCTAAACCCTAAACCCGAAGTTCTAAAAGGGTTCCCCCTATTAAAATAGGGGACACTGGGAAACCCAGGTTACAACAACCAGCAGGATGCCATCGCAAAAACGGGCTTAACACACCAGGACTTTGTGGACCTGCTGTCACCCATCCACAAGAATCTTTGGCTATGACTTCATGAAGAACAGCCTAAGACTGTCATTGCAGTCTTCTTTTTGTGTTTCTGGCTTCCCGGGGTGCAGTGTTCTAGCTTGAGCCCACCCAAAACCTAAACCCCAAACCCCTAAACCCTAAACCCTAACTCCCAAACCCTAAACCCTAAACCCTAAACCCTAAACCGCGAAACCCCTACACCCTAAACCCTGAACCCTAATGGCATTCAGCGCCCCGCTCCACCTTCTCGCAAGTTTGCAGCATGCATTCCTGCTCCTGGGTTGCTGGGGTTGTTTAGGGTTGAGGGTCTGGGGTTTAGGGTTGAGGGTTCAGGGGTTAGTTCTTGGGGTTCAGGGTTTAGGGTTGAGGGTCTGAGGTTTCGGGTCGAGGGTTTAGGGGTTAGAGCCTTAGGGCTGAGGCATGGACTGCAACAAATCTACGGCCGGACCTTTAGAATCTACTCGTTTGATGGACGACGGGCGGCGGGGCATGGTGGTTGTTTGGGTGCGTCCTTCGATGTTCTGCTTGACGACAACCTGGTGACTGGTTGGCATCTTAAGACAACTGTGACATTCCTCTATGGTCCTACCCTTAACTACAAGCCCTAATCCTTTCAACTCTAAGCCCTAACTTCGCACATTGTCCTTAAACCCTAAACCCTAAACCCTAAACCCTAAACCCAAAGGCCCTAAACCCTAAACTCGTAACGCAGGTCATGGTCCTGGCCTTTACTCCGGAAGATGCGTCCTGGAAGACTTGTGACCTCACCGACCACTTCGCGGTACTCCTCTGGCCGACGGTTTACAGCATGTGCCACGGTTTAGGGTTTAGGGTTTAGGGGTTTAGGGTTTAGGGTTTAGGGTTGCTGTTAAGTAAGTTACCATCACGGAGATAGATAGCCCTGAACCCCAAGAGCCCTAAACCTCAGACGATAGTACACAAAATAGGGTTTCCATGCCCCGAACCCTAAACCCTAAACCCTAAACCCTAAACCCTAAACCCTAAACCTCAAACCATACTGTTGATGATATAAATCCTGCATTACCTTAAGGACCCTAAACTATGGGAATTATGGTATATTCGTTATTATGGGTAATGCAGGAATTATATCATCAACCGTAGTACCAAAAATGTGGGGACTTCCTTTATTACTGCAGCTTACTTTAAGCTCCTTCACGGCAGCCCAGGTATAGCACCTTCACCGCTCGATGGCTCTGATTAGGGTTTAGAGTTTAGGGGTTTAGGGTTTAGG